TTAACTTATTTAGCTGTTTAACATTAGCAAAGCTATATTTTTAGTTAATTTTAACTTATTTAGCTGTTTAGCATTAGCGAAGCTATATTTTTAGTTAGTAGATTCTGATTTAGTAAAGCAAACGTTTTGGTCATCTGTCCCCAGTGGAGGGCACCAGTCCACTAAAGCGCAAATCCACTAATTGCGGACCTAAATATTTCATTTGCGCTTTAGCGGTCTTCCTAATTTTTATAATTCATAAGCAYATTTGCGCTTTCCGGTTAGCTTCTTAGCTAAGCCTCCTTCACAGTGGAGCTGGCTACAAATGTRGTAGCCAACCGATGCAATAATTTTAAACTTCAGCAGAGGCCACACCTCCAACAAGAATCACTTCTCTATAGCCGAGAGTCCAGACCCTCGTACGAAGCAAAGCGAAGGACAAGGGTCTGGTTGTTACCAGACTAATGTTGTAGTATTCTCCAAAAGGACAAGTGGCAGTACACTTTATAACTTGTGAAATGTTGTAAATAGGAGAGCAAAAGCTTGAACAAACTGAACGGTGCGCAGCATTTGTGTAGTTATAAGTATTCGGAGGTGTACAACCACGTGCCAGGACACCTCTCGAGACTAACGTGCAGTGGGCGAGGATGGTGCGATTGAGTCACTGTTGGCACACACACACCTTCATGCCGTGGTCCGTGTATCAACTACAAACCTCGCTTCAGGTTTCAGTGAATCGAACCYCTGGTTAGTGCTGTGGAAAGGGGGAGGGGCTCACTGCACCACTTGCTGTTTGCTGAGGAAAGTGCTGGAAAGTCTCAAAGTCTCCAAGAACATTGTAAAAAGTCGCTAGATTTGTTGCTTATCGCTTTTCGTAAAAATATCAGAGGGTTCTGAAAACTCACAAACTCTAGTGACAGAGTGGCTACGTTACACTGGTTAAAATACAAACATCACATCTCCAGTGGYCATTGAAACGACAGCATTACTGTGTAAATTTTTCACAATCAYCATAAAAAACCCAACATTTGTGGAGTTATTGACAGGTAAACAGAACCTGACGGTTAGTTTGAGTTCTGTTTGTTTATTTATAGATTGTTTTTGTGTTGACCTTTTCCTGTTCACAAAAGCCTCTTCTGTCCCTGCAGGAGATCCGTTGAGAAGTGGTTTTGAGAGTAATACTCCACGGGTTGTCATGGTTCCCTCCTCTTCATGGTCTTTTATTTCCTGCATGTCCTGCTGTTTTCTATTGTACATGTCTGATAAGCCACTACAGAGGAGGTCTTGTGAATTATTATATGGTTTCTTTGTTCCTTTAGGCTTTGTTTTTTTTTAACTATTCAAATACTTTTGTAAAAATGGAATAAGGCAGTCTCAACCTATGACTTGATTTTAATTCAGGGTTTTTGTATTTAGTCTTGATGGGTTGTCTCCACAATATTCAATTTCTAACCTGATACAGATACTGAAAAAAAAAACTAACATTTTGGATTAACTGTTCCTGACAAGCTTTATTTGTTGGATGTTTGCTTCTTCTGCAGACTGATATTACTTTGGTTCTTCGTTTTATACATCGTCTCTGCAGCTTTTCCTCAACAGTTTTAATTTTGTGTCGATGTGCTTTTAAAACTGCTTTGAAAGTTTGCGGTCGAGTCAGCAAACCCTTTTTCTGTACACGRTGAGTCACACAGAGAACAAAACACAAAAATACATGTCGTCGTTTGATATACTGTTTTTGTTTTTACTACACAAACTCTTTGAGTTCTTCAAACGAATGTCTTGTATCCTCGCCTCTTGCAAGATTACTGCTGATTCCACTTTTTCCTTTTCAGAAAACGCTCTGTTGGTTTATATTCATGTTGCTTTTCAGTTTAAAGAACTGACAGGTAGGGGGAAGCAACAGACGGTAAGCTGCTTCCTGAAACCTGAACACAAATGACAGGATTTTTTTGTGATGATGACAAAGCTGAAGTAAAATTTTCTCCTTTGTTAAAAAGCCACAGCAACATTTTATTTATTGCACGAGACACAAACACACTTATTCCTGCTTCCAATGGAYTATAAGTTTAGTGTTTTACTTATGTGGTCAGAAGATGTGATTGTTCTTTATTCAGTCCAAGAGGCCTTCCCTTTTAGCTTTTAGTGCATGACTGTGAAGACCAAGTACGTTCCTTTTTTATTTCTTCTTTATTATCCCCACAAGAACAAATTACCACATTAAAGTGGTAAATGTTACTGTTAGCTGAATGCATGCTTAAGGCTACGGATGTATTGAAGTACGGTTGTAAGAGAGACTTAAATGAGTTTTAAACATGTCCCGAAGCTCTGAAATTCCCCAGAGGTGTTCTGAAAGGCCGACAGGTGAGGCTGTAAATGTCTGCGATATTTATTCACACGTTCCCAGTTACTTAGGAGGAACTCCAGAACATCAGCAACTTCTTCTGTGATTGATTTTAACAGGTTCTGCAAAATATTTATCTCTGAGGAAGTGTTTGTGTTCTTATCCAGAGCTCCTGCATCATACATTTTTCCCACCCAGTTTACTTGTTGTTTCCCTCTATGTGGGTCTTCATTGTAATACATGTTGATACTGAGACAAATACAGTTTAATAGAAGCTTTATACAGGGTGAGTCAAAAGTCTCAGGACACCCTTTTATTTCAAAAAAGAAAGGAAAAATCCCAGCATGTAATGAGTGAGAAGAACTATCTTTTTGGCTTTAGGCATGAGAGATTGCAAATCTTATTGCAGCAATTCGTTTCTGAGACAATTTGGTCCTTACACCTTCACGTTGGAAAAATTTGCTCTTGATCCAATATGGTGGCTTTCAAGATGTGTTCTGGTCATAACCTAAAAGAAAGGCCCCCCTCACTCATTACTTGCTGGTGCATTCAGATATTTCTTTCCCTTTTCATTTCTGAAATAAAAGGGTGTCTGGAGTCTTGACTCTCCCTGTACTTTTGATGTTCCAAAAACAACGTGCTTTTTACTTTTGCATCATACTTTGAAACATTTGCACTTCACTCAAACACCCCTCTGTTACGGAGATATTATTTCTGACAGAGAAGTAGAAAAGTTTRGGCTGTGAGGTAAATATGTGAAGACTGCAGAGAAAGCTTGAGTTGTCAGAAATGTTGAACTAGTCGTCTGAAAYCTCAACTTTTAATGTTGATCCAGGTCAACCACCGTTCGTCCTACTTAGCAGGTTAGCCGGGAAGGCAGGAGGGACTTGTAAAAAAAGGAAAGATAATTTCAGTTTTTCTTGTACTTGCAGCATAGTTCTGGTTAGAAGATGATGTGAAATAAATTCATTGACTTTATAGTCACCAGGTCAAACCTGTGGGGTTTTGTGAGGCAATGCAGTCATCAGTCTAACAAAAATGTGGGATTGTTTTTAGATAAATGATGTTCATCTCTACCCTAAAGGCTTCCTGACTGATTACCATAGATCATTAGCACTGTTTTTTGTTTTTATTGTTGTTGCTCCAGCAAACCAAATTATCCCACATATTGATCCCGAAGGCTTGAGATACYACCAGAATGTGAAATCCCTGCTTGTATGTTTTTATACATCATTGTTCACAAATCCATATTTGACAGCTTGTGTTGTTTCTTTGTCCCTGCATGTCTGAAGGGTTTGATGGAGAGCTGGTCGAATGTCAGCGGGAACTATTGTGATAACCGGAGGAATCCTTGCTGGAGTGATACTGCTGTGCATCGTAGCAGTTCTCTGTTACTGTCGACTCCAGGTACCCAGTGTTAGCTGTGCATGTACAGTATGTCTTGTTGAAAAAAATATCAAATTTATGGCAGTGTAAAACTCTCAAGGTGATGTAAAACAATAAAGCCTGTTGTGATTTGTGAGTGCTGGTAATTGAGTTCAGAGCTTTCTGAGAATAAAAGTCTTATGTTTGATTCAACAGAAGACGAGAACATGAATGAGGGTCTATGGTTTGGAAATATWCGTTTCTAAAATTCCATATTCAAACTAAACTTAAACTAGACGTGGAGTTGGTCAAGATTTTTTATTATTTTTGTTAAAATCATATTTGACTCAACCATGTCTTAGACTAACATAGACAGTGCTTTGGTGGTGCAGGACTGTGGTACAGTTGTACAAGGTTTATAACAGTAATGTATGTACAAATACCCAGARTGAGCTTCTTTTAGTTTTATAAACATTTATTTGATTGGAGGATATAAATGGCGTACAGTTTATGTTTAAACCTTGTGCTGGGTGATATTAATTCCACAGTTTTCAAAATACCATCTTTTGATTAATGTTKAAGTATTTTCACACAARAGAAACCYTTCCTTTTCCTGGGAGTCACACTCAACTGTTGCATCTGCCTTAGATTCTCTCCTTACTCTCTGTATCCATCTCCACCACACTCAACGCCTTCATCAATGACATCAGTTTGCCTTGTGCTGCTCGATTTTCTGCATGTGCATTCAGCGGTGCAGCAAGGAAAAAATGTCCCCATGGCGGGCACGTCTGAATGTTCTCAGGTCATTTAAACTGATACAACAAAAAAAAAATGGTTTTCATTACAAACTGGTAAACCGCCCAGCTGTATTCAAACCTATTATAAACAAGGACGTAACTTTAGGTCTGCCTTTATACCAGGGGTGGGCAATCTTGGTCCTCGAGGGCCGCAGCCCAGCAGCTTTTATATTTTTCCCTGCTCCAACACACCTGATTCAGACATTGAATTACCAAGTTCTGCAGTATGGAGGACTGACACTGACATAACTTGAAAATAGAAATATATAAATGGACCAATAAATAAATTCAACTAAAAATGTGCCAATTAAATTTAAAAAGGAGAGCTTAACCTCGTTTTATAATTTAAGTGACCTTCATATTTATTTTTCCACCTTAGTTCCAACTAATAATATATTTTCGCACATAATTTACATTTTACTGTTTTTACTGTTTTCACTGTTTTTAATATA